ATGAGTAAATCATCGACATTCAGTCGTGAAGATAACTCGTCTTTATCAAAAATACGCCCGGTCTCTGCGTTGTTAAGCCTTTGTGTCATTGACAATGGAGAGGAATTTTCTAGGTAACGAAGAAATTTTCCCGTAGACCTGTTTGTTTCTATCTGAAGTCCGCTCTAATAAAACAGTCTTTCCTTTTTCTCAGCGCAGGTTTCGTGGATACTACTTACATCTAAGCATATTACGTGCCAAAATTGCGGATTTTCCTTTCGCGCAATTTTCTACACGTAGCCACGATACTCTTTTTAAAATATCTGCTAGCACGACCTCAGGACTGTCTTATTTACTCCTGAATAACATTGCTCCTTTTGATCGAAATCATTTCGATTTTTGTTCAATTTAAACACTTTGCAATCTTTCTCGGGCTTTCTTGGCGGTTTTCCCAGACAAACTAAACATTTCTGGCGCTGTCTTTTCATCTTTCTTGAAGTCCTTTGGAAGTAAAATCACTTTGCGGCGCTCGGTCAAATGTCTTTTCGTTTTCTTTCGGCCCTCCTCTACCCCCATTCTTTCTCTCTCTCTTTTTTTTGTGCTCCCTTCTCAGCTTCTCAGACTATGAAGACGTCGCGTCCGCAAAGGGACGTAGTTAAATTTCTTTCCCGTGCAGAACTCTATCTAAGAAATATTGAGTTCAACCACCTTAAGCAAACCAGACAAGGAAAATGTTTTTCAAGAAAAAATAGGAGTATTTATCAGTGCTTTCCCATGTATTAAACTTTTTTCAGGGTATATTTTAAATCAATTTTGTTTACTTTGTATTGTATAATTCTTAGGTAACGTTCTTTCAATTCGAGGTAATCCATGTCTATTTTAGAACGTAGAAATGCAGTAATAAATAATCCTTTATAATAAATAATAAATATTAAAAATTGCCATGTAAATTAAAGTTCTTCCAGGCTGGTCATTCCTGTACGTGGAGAATTCCGTCTTACCTTATCTGTAAGCTCAGCCAACTGCAATATTCGTCACTTGGAACACGTACAAGCAGATGTTAACCTACGTTTTTCCCGCCGAGGTTATTTGGAGATGTTTTCAACATCGCCAAGTGGAACAAAGTCTAAGCTTCTTTACCCGCGGATAATAGATACTTACACGGGCTATCAGAATTATACGAACTGGCCAGTAACGAGCTTGCATTACTGGGGAGAAAACCCTATTGGAAGCTGGAACATTACGATAAAAAACACGGGGCGTAGCAGACAACTCAAAAAAGGTAACATGACAGCGGAGCCCCATACCTAAAAGGCTTTTTCAGTAGCCTGTGTTGCAGCCGGCCCACGCATCATCTAGACTATTTGTATAGTTCGAATTAGTGCACAGAAGCTCGTTCTAATATGCAGTAAAGTCGCAAGGATGTATGTGAGCGTTTCTGATAGGCGGGTTTCTCATGTTTTTTTTTTTCATGCGCCTCACGATTAGCCCACGTCTTTCGTGTGCGTGACAGTTGGGCGTAGTGACACGTCAAACTTCACAGAGTGGAGGTGGCAAGGAGTATTTACAGTAACAATGAAAGAGCAGTTCGAACTTGAAAGCGTTCTTCTGAACAAGAAAATCCTTTAAGGGAATTTTTTAAGGCTAAAATGTGTTGTTAAATATACCGACTGGTTTCCCAGCTAAATAGTCAGTTCTGAATGACAACCAGGTTTTATTATTTAAAACACTAAAATTTCATCGGCTATTAGCTTATTCTCAAAACGGGTTGGGGTGTGGTGTCTGGAATATTCCATTCACAGTTTATTTCTATAGCTTTCATCTATACGTCACATCTTTTACACATTTCACCCTACAGCTTCTTTGCATATACAGCTATTTCGAGAAAGGTTACCGGAAAAAATGTGCGCGCCACAATCCCTAAAGGTAATATGAGATATGATCAATACACTGTTCCTGACGACTGTAGCTGTGGAACCTACTTTTGTTGCTTTCCTTTAGCACTCGCAGACACATTTTCATGACCTTTCGTGCCAATTCTTTCAAATTTCTTTAAAGAATAGTGAACTCAAAACCACCCAGAAAGTCTGTTGGGATTGTCGCGTGCACTTTTTCCGACATCCCTTCTCGAAATAGCTGTATATAGCGCGCACGCCGAATGTTTTCTCATCCCTGATGATGCCGTTGATCGGCGAAAGCTTGTATTTTGGATTTTACTGTTTTAAAACAGCAGTTTAAGGCCTCACTTGAACAGTTTTATATATTTTTTAATTATGCTGCTGAAGGACGACATCAACAGATTATAGTATAAAGTATATTAAGAGGACGATTCACTTTTAGCCCTGGTCAGAGGCTCTTGCTATGGCTAAATCTATATATTACAAGGGTTACTACGATAATGTGCATATGATTTCAAGTGAAGAATGATCCTCGCAGTTGTGAACGCAATTTATGCAATTGCAAAAGAAGCCTGGAAAAAAATCGAGGACTTTATATGTTCCCGTGAAAGAGATGAAATGTGACAAATGTATATGAAATGAATCATATATGAGAACCGCTCATATACTCTTTTACGGGAACATTATGAACTTGTAATTGGCCAGCTCCCAACATCAGTGGCTTCATAGCTTAGTTGGTAAGAACGACGCATCGGTATCGCGAGGTCACGGGTTCAAATCCCGTTGAAGTCCTGGATTTTTTTTTGCAGACTTTTTTTTTGCGTTCACAGCTGCGAGGATCATTGTTCACTTGATTTCATTTCCACGGTTCTCATATATGATTCATTTCATATACATTTGTCATAGATAATGATTTCATAAGATCATCGCAGAGGATCATCATCTTTTGGCTCTATCTTCCTTGAGAGAAATGTCACCTCTACTTGTTCCTAACATATTTGTTTTCTTAAATAGGTCGAGTATTTGGTTTTAAATTCATCTTCTACGGAACGAAAGAGGATCCTCTCAAATACAATAATCACGTCGACAAAAATATAAAGAGAATAGAAAAAGTCGATACCTCGTCTCGCAGAAAAGGTTAGTTCTTGGGATCTCATAAAGATGGGCAAGATGCAATGTGTGTTAACCTTCAATGGAGACTGGCACTATGATCCAGATCAGGCACGGTAGTTTAGGAACGTTAGATAAACCTATCCACAGAATAACTCACTATCCGGTTAGTGAGTTCAAGTATTAGGGTATACTGCGTAGATATTTCTCCAGCAAAATGATAATCCACCTGTGAATACAGACGTTTCTCCCATCGCCCCATGTAAGGGAATCCGGATTCCGGTATTGGGGAAATTTTTTGCTTGTGCAATCGGGAATCCTGGGCCGAGTTTTTCAAAGCTGGGTTAAGATAACCCAGGGTTAGCGCGAGATTCTAATTCAGATTTGAAAGCTTAAAAAAGCATTTTAGTTTCAATTCTTTTTGTCTACAAGTTGATGATTGGAAGCTCTAAAAATAACAGAGAAAATTATCGGAGAAAATGCTTTTGAACACAAGAAAAAGAAACCCTGGTTAAAGTTAACCCCGGGTTAAGCGCTAATCGGCCTTCGAACAACTGGGCCCTGGGCTTTGGAATCCGGAATACAGGTCAAAGAATCCGAAATCCCAACAGCGATTGGGTCCAGAATCCAAATTCCGCTACGTAAGTGTGGAATCCAGTATGTGGAATCCGGACGTGGAATCCAGAATCCAAGACTATTTTGGATTCCCTTATATGGGGCGATTCCTAGCTCCTCGACGCCACAGGGACGTTTCACGTCTTCGACTCAGCGACAGAAATTCCATACTGATGTCGTAAATTAATGTTTACGTAATAGACCCAGTAGTTATGGGGTTCCAAACGTAAAATTGTTGATTTTATGTTTTCTTGGTCGATTATGGCAAAGTTTGGTAATCTTTTGCCAACGAGCTCCAGCATAACTCAGGTGCGTTTTCTAAAGAAGAATTTCTGTAACTATTTTTGTAGTACATTTATCACGTTTACGTTTGACCTTTGTGTAAAATTGCTGTGAATTGAACTGAACAACCTTCATGTGGTCATTACTAACTCAATTTATTCTCAACATAGTTCATAAAAAGCTTAGACGATATCACTGTGAAACTAACAACACCTTTGTCCGTTTGCCAAAGACGGCAAATACGAAGTTACGGAATCGTAACGACTGTTTTCTGTGAAATACCTGTTCGGTCAAGCGAAAATTGCCTAGAATTTTCTATAGCTCGAGGAAGGCTACAAGTTCCAGACCGTTCCATTCATGTACATTTTCCAAGCTTACTAATGAATTCCCTACGATTTTGTGAAGTTTAATTCTTCCCATTCACTCCCCAGGTTAAGCTATTTTTCATGGAAGAAGGAAACACAATATTTTCGGAATTGAAAATGCGATGCCGACTTGGAAAAAAAACTTGAATTCTCAGTTTCGTAAAACTTTAAATTACAGCTAAAAAAATTTGCGGGGAAATAATACTGAGGTCCTTATAATTTCGAAAAAGAATTAAGTTGCCCTAAGAGGACCGAAAATACCTAATTTTTTTAGTGCTACTAAGAATATATTTCTAGAGATGTAAAAGTACTCTGGAACCTAAAAGTGTTTTCGATGCATTTAGGAGGAAACCGTCATTGGGTCCGCCTTTATAATTACACACACGATTCAAACTAAAATTTAAGTACACATGTTCGCGGGTTGCTAAACTGAGCAGAAAGTTACATAAAACATCCCTTAAATTGCCGTTTTTACGATAGTTATCATTTTACACTTCTGGTTAGCGAATTTAATTCTGCACACGGGCTAGCAACTTTTTAGTCAGTTTGAATAACTTTAATTACTGAAACTCAACCCTCGCCCAATTTCAGATTTTGCCGTTGGCAACCATAAAATCGAAATAAAACACGAAATCCGAAAACAGACTGGTAAATCAGCCCGTTAGTTAGCTTGTGGTTATGTGTACGAGTGTTGTGACCTGTTATTTCAGCACAATTTTTATTGTATATATATTGTTTTACGTCCTCAGAGATGCGCATTAATGGCGGATTCTCCCAGTGGAGCCACTGGAGTCCCTGCAGCCAAAGCTGCGGAAGAGGATTTAGACGACGCTTTCGAGAGTGCAACAATCCTAGGCCGGTAAATGGAGGAAAATACTGTAGAGGAAATCGTCAAGAAGTAAAAACATGCAAGAGACGCAGATGCGTAGGTTAGTAGGCTTATCTGTTCATCGGATTGTTTCAAGATCAGGGCGTAAGAAGCGAGGGCGTTGAAACGAGCGGGGTCGAGCGATCTAGCTGTGATGCAAGGGTCAGGGTACTACCACAGAGACAAAACAAGATAGCGGACATTATACTGGACCGTTAGAGAGATTATCTAGCAAACATCAGCCATTATCCCGTGGCATTCATTTGCTACAAGCAATTGCGAAGGAACAAATAATTTTTTTCTCACGTTTGTTTTCTGTTTTGTTCAATCTTCCGCGAACAAATATCTGTATTGAATATAGTTCCACCTACGTGACTTGTATTAAAATTTCGTGACTTGGTGAGAAAATGGCATCACAACTCAGATGATAGCACTGACATCATTTTTAGACTAATATTATCGGTTCCCTACTTCAGTTTAATATCAAGTCGTGTAATCCATCATCTGCTATGGCATTTATGCATCAGTCAATTCCACCTGCGCCCAGGTTATGCCCAGGTTATGAAGTGCATGGAGTATTCTAAAGTTTGATTAAATCTTATTTTTGCCGCTCTCAATCTAACATTTATTAAAGGTTGGAATATTTCTCCAGTGTTTCATGCAGATCGAGTAATTATCAGATTACCTTGCGGTCAAGGTCAACTTTCCAGAATTTGGAAAGTACAATGTGATTGGCTAAGCATGGGAAAGGAATGTTGTCTTCGGTTGAGCAGGCGTTTGTGAGGAGGGATGAAAAACGAGCTCCCCTAAAGACACCTGCGTGGGAGGCTATTGACAGATGAGCCAATCTGCTTTTTTTCCAGTAAAACCTTCTGTGTAGTTATATTCTGATAGGAAACCGCATGCGTGTCAAAAGCTTGGGAATGGCCCCGAGGTTGGCAAACGCCCGGCCCCCGGGCAGTGCAAAATTTACAAATGCCCCACTCCCGCGACTGAAAAGACGGGCAAATGCCCCGCGGTAGCCCGGGGGGGGGGGCCCTCTGGGCGCAGGTGGAATTGACTGATGCATTATTTTTTGCTGCCCAGTTTCAAGGCCAGATGATCTATTTTCACTATTAAACACTATTAAAGTTTGGATTTGTTGGTGTACATGAGTATTCTTCTCTAAACACCTTATTGAGCTATCTCCAATATTGAGCATTACAGTTGGACAGATTGTGAAAACTAAAGTCCGGGTAAATTTAAATATAATGAAATCATCATTATTTTTTATTTTGTACACTAATCACTAATACTATACTGTGCAATGAAGAATAAGTATGTGAAAAAAGTATAATTCGCTGCCCTTGAAAAACTAATAAAGAGGTCGCAAGAACACAAACAAGTAGCCCAGCAAATATTTTTGTTTGATAATAACAGCTTTTTGTAATGAAATGGTCACTGAAAACTACCCATGCAAGACATACTAAGGAACTTAAAACAAACTAAACATTCAATAGTCTTACATAGAAACCAGACATTGCTATATATATATATATATATATCTTACAGATAGAACATAAAACATTTATATAACATACAAATTCAAAAGTATATTGCAAACAAGCAACCCTAGCACACTTGTATACTTCATGTCCAGTATGGTTCAATTTCATTCTTGGTTAAGTTTATCAACTGCAGCCAGGCTTAATCAAACTTGATTCAAAAAATGCTTTCCTGTTTCCTTGTCTACAATATATAATATTAAGAGAGAGGATATAATGCTCGAAATATTATACAGTAGTACAATCAAAAGATAAGGTAAGGCACCTCCAGGAAATCGAGTTGGTCCCTACTATTCTTCAGTCATTTTCTTTTACTCTCTATAAGAGTTACACCTGTCCATTAATATAGACATTTTGTGCCAGTCCCAATAGTTTCCATCTGAGAGCTGACTATAGTTTGCGCAACACCACACTTAAGCCTCTGACGACAAAAATACAATGTTACACAGTCTTAATTTATTCTACTTGTAATCAAATTAAGACCTCTTCATGTTCCTCTTCATATTCACGGTATTATGAACTCGTTTATCTTTCAGTGTGTGTTCTAGCAGTCTTTTCAGGCCGGGCACTCACTGTTGTCCTGCTAAATGTCACAATAACAAACACATTCTATGATTTAATTTTACGGTGGAATCTTTATGGGGATTTGAAAGCAAATTTCTCCATAGGCTTCATTCTGTTTCTGTCCAATAGAACCTTTAGATTTTTACCGCAGTGAAGCAGAATTTGTTGCTGTTTATGTAAAGACTGTCACACGAGATCATTCGAATGCAATTTGCTAGCAGAACTTTAAAAATAGTCAGAACCTTCTTGGATCGCGGTTCTGTAACTAAAAAAAAATTATTTACTATCTTAGTGTATATTAAAAAAAGAAAAATCGCTAAATTGGGCAACTTTACTAACAGGCTAAACGCCAACGTACAAAACAAAAACCTTACCATCGCCATTATGAAGTCGTCAATTCAGAAGTAAAAAACCTTAAAGGTTCATAAAAGTTCACTCTAAAAATTTGCATGAACAAACAAAATTTATAAAACCATTACATATTTTTTTGGTGGCCGTTTATTATCATTTGGTTTTGACTGGCAAGATAAAACGCGACCTTCAACCTGTAATATTCGATAGGCTATTTTGACAGTACATAAACATAAAAGGCGAAAAAAAACCTTAACTTATAAGACTAACTATAGAATATCACCTAAATATTTTCTATATATCGCATAGAAATACGCCAACTATCAAATCTAATTATAGATTGCAGCGATCTAAAGATATAAAGCAATAAATCCGAACCTACCTCCAGCTAGACGGCGCCATTTTTTTTGCCTTGACAGCGGATCGAAAGCGGAAAGGCCAACTAGTTCCAATCCTACTCCACATCACAGCTGAACCAGAAAGCGCGTAAGAACGTTTCAACGCCCTAGCTTCTTACGCCCTGTTCAAGATCGTGCAGCCTCTCTACGTCTCCTAAGTTTTAAGTAAAGATAAAATAAGCTATACAAAACGGTAGGATTCTGACCTTACTCAACGGGCAAACTGAAAGACATACAACTGGGGGCCTGATACAGTGTTCTGGTAATTGGCAAGTGGGATGATAATCACAATTCTTCCAATTCTTCCTTTCCCGAGAGAGTGATGATATTGTCATTTGAAGTTGTATAATCCGTCAGGTTGGTGTGGTCCGGAAGCTGACGTAAAACTCCAAGCAATAATTTTGCTTTCGTAGCAAGTTTGCTTACAAGATTACATCCCCCTACCTACACCCTTCCCCAACAAAAAAAGTGACTGACGATCATCCCTATAAGTAAGCGACTCTAAATGTTTTCTTTCTCTAATGGCTTCGATCCTGTCTCGATTAGCCCTCCACTGGCTTATTTCGGATGGCCTTCATTTTTAAAGTAGTAGCTATTAATTATATGTTGTTTAACCTGGCAATATCTTGAGTGTTAACATAACTATATGCTTATCAATATTTTGTCCCTATTACTAAAAGGTTCCGCTTAACACAGAAATTTTATACTTGACACTGTAAAACTTACCAGGAAGGAGTTGTTCATAAATGTCATTTGTATGTTAGCTTGTGCAGATGTTTGGGGCAGAGATATATGTCAACCATACTCCACAAAAGGATACTGTTCTATTCAAGCATTTGGTCAAAATTGTAAGAAAACATGTGGTAGCTGTCAAGGTTCGTAATCTTACCTTTCTTTGTACTTCTCACTTTTCATTAAGTAATAAATGCATTCTTTCTTTGACGGTAAATTAATTAGTACTAAAGTGCATAATAAGATTGTTATGATGTAATACATTGTTAATCACGTGACTCACCTTGTACGTGTTAGTGCTAACCTTTGTATCGTTATTAACGTCTCCGCCATTAAAAACAAGTTACGTTTGTACCTCCAGAGTCCTTATTTTTCCACCAAAACACAATGACTACAAATATCGCATTTTTCATTGACATTTGTACTATCGGACGCCACCATTAATATATTTTATCACAATTACCTATAAATAGGTGCTCAAGGACCGGTAATTATTCGAGTAGCCTCCCTACGAAGACGTTCTTAGGGGCTCATCACGCGTTAAGAGCCAAAAGAACGTCTGCGGCGGAGGCTATTATATTCGAGTGCAGTAAGGATGGGTCAGAAATGGAAGAAGGCTATTTTGACAGAAGAAAGAAGAAGAAAGTTTGCGCCCAATTTTCTAAGTCTCCTCTTTAGTAAATCTGGAGTTTTACAGTACCCATTCTGTTCTATTGGGGGATACTTTCAAGTGAACCCCTCCCTACTTAGTTATATTGATCTGATTTCTATAAACTAAAGGCTGTAGTGAAGCAAGAGGTTATGAGCCTTAGCTCATTCTCTCTTGACTGAAGGTATCCATGTTTTGGTGATTAGTAGGGTCTTGGAGCAGAATCTCCTGCTCATGGCCATGATGATCATGACTACGACGGTGATGACGGTACTTACGATGATAAAAAAATGATGTTTACTATCACGTTAATAATGATGAATAAAGTTAAGACAAATTTTCCTAAATTTCTATTTTGAAAAACTTCCGAAGAGCCTATGATGTAAAATTGTGAAGACCACTTTTTATTGGTTTTCTTTATGGAAAGAATTCAACCACTCAGATCCACTGCATTTGAAGAGTACATTTTAATAATCTTAACAACTACTGCTCAGTTAAATACTGTTGCAATACTTACATACACATGTATTTACATCTGAAAATCTCACAAGAGGATGGCTTTGGCACAGAAAACGCAGGCTAGTCACGTATGCAGACTATGTGCTACAAAAAGAACCCCTTTTCCGCAAGCTAAAACTTCAAGTCTTCACAAGTATTAGCTATAACTAAGAGCCATTTTATCACGTTTTACAGCCAACAGATAAATATAACAGATATATTTGTTCTCAGGTATCGTTGTTAACGGTGGATACAGTAACTGGGGCCATTGGTCGGCCTGCAGTCGGACATGCGCAGGAGGGTTACAAAATCGATCTCGTTCCTGCACTAATCCCAAACCAGCAAACGGAGGGATGGACTGTACTAGACTGGGACCAGCTTCTGAGGAGAGAAGATGTAACAGACAGAGGTGCCCAGGTAACGTTGTTACTCTTGCTTTAACAGGAAGTTTTAAACAGTCGCGAAGACGGTAAAAAAAAGCGACAACGTCACTGTTAAAAATGAATTTACATTCCTTCAAATTACATCTATATGTTGGTGCTAACTTACTGAATGCCTTTCAAACTACGATTAAAGCAGAGACGTCTTTTTTTGGAGAGACTGGGAATGGTGTAAGGCCGGTTTTTTTGGCGCTCCGCCATTTGGCGTGTTAATCCTTGCTATTTGATGACTCCGAAAAGGAACGACAGGCCCACATCGTCTTCCTCGGACGCCGTTTCGCCCGAAGAGAAAAAAAGCAAAGACGCCAATCGATTTACGAGTGAAAGTGAAAAAAAGGACGAGGTAATAACAGCGCTATCAATGGCGGACGGTCTTGGGAAGAAAGTGGACATGATATCAAACAAATGACGAAAGTTAGACAGCACTGAAACGCGTCTGGATAATTTTCACAAATCAATGGCATCTCTCCAAGAATCTTTTGCCGTTATGGAGAAAGACGTATAGAACCTGAAAGATGAGACGGAAAAAACGAACACGAAGGTACACGATCTTCAAAAAAGTGTTGAGTTCCATATTCAGGACATTAGCGATTTGCAAAAAGATCTCAAAAAAAGTTCAGCATGAAGCCGAAGAGCTCAAAATGCAACTCTTACACCAGGACCATTACAGTAGGAGGGAGAATCTTATGTTTGTTGGAATCGAAGAAAATGATACACCGGTCGACGCCGAAAACGAGTCGGCGAATAACAAGTGTGGAGAATACAAAGGAAGGGATTTATAATTTTCTGCAAAACGAACTTAGCTTTCAGAATGCCTAGAGTAGATTCGAATTTGAACGGATTCAATTAGTGGGAAAAAGAACAGGTAAGAAGCCCCGCCCTATTATCGCAAGATTTCTCCGATATTCCGATCGAGAAGAAGTCCTACTACGTGCAAAAACATCACTCAAAGGAGAAGATTACGGTGTCTTTGAGGAAATGCCAAAGGAACTTTATCAACTAAGAAAGGCTCAACTGAAGAAATTTCAAAATGCAAAACATCAAGNCCAAACCAGCAAACGGAGGGATGGACTGTACTAGACTGGGACCAGCTTCTGAGGAGAGAAGATGTAACAGACAGAGGTGCCCAGGTAACGTTGTTACTCTTGCTTTAACAGGAAGTTTTAAACAGTCGCGAAGACGGTAAAAAAAAGCGACAACGTCACTGTTAAAAATGAATTTACATTCCTTCAAATTACATCTATATGTTGGTGCTAACTTACTGAATGCCTTTCAAACTACGATTAAAGCAGAGACGTCTTTTTTTGGAGAGACTGGGAATGGTGTAAGGCCGGTTTTTTTGGCGCTCCGCCATTTGGCGTGTTAATCCTTGCTATTTGATGACTCCGAAAAGGAACGACAGGCCCACATCGTCTTCCTCGGACGCCGTTTCGCCCGAAGAGAAAAAAAGCAAAGACGCCAATCGATTTACGAGTGAAAGTGAAAAAAAGGACGAGGTAATAACAGCGCTATCAATGGCGGACGGTCTTGGGAAGAAAGTGGACATGATATCAAACAAATGACGAAAGTTAGACAGCACTGAAACGCGTCTGGATAATTTTCACAAATCAATGGCATCTCTCCAAGAATCTTTTGCCGTTATGGAGAAAGACGTATAGAACCTGAAAGATGAGACGGAAAAAACGAACACGAAGGTACACGATCTTCAAAAAAGTGTTGAGTTCCATATTCAGGACATTAGCGATTTGCAAAAAGATCTCAAAAAAAGTTCAGCATGAAGCCGAAGAGCTCAAAATGCAACTCTTACACCAGGACCATTACAGTAGGAGGGAGAATCTTATGTTTGTTGGAATCGAAGAAAATGATACACCGGTCGACGCCGAAAACGAGTCGGCGAATAACAAGTGTGGAGAATACAAAGGAAGGGATTTATAATTTTCTGCAAAACGAACTTAGCTTTCAGAATGCCTAGAGTAGATTCGAATTTGAACGGATTCAATTAGTGGGAAAAAGAACAGGTAAGAAGCCCCGCCCTATTATCGCAAGATTTCTCCGATATTCCGATCGAGAAGAAGTCCTACTACGTGCAAAAACATCACTCAAAGGAGAAGATTACGGTGTCTTTGAGGAAATGCCAAAGGAACTTTATCAACTAAGAAAGGCTCAACTGAAGAAATTTCAAAATGCAAAACATCAAGGCAGCACAGCCTATTTCAGCAGAAAGTATCCGGACAAATTATTCATAGGCGGTAACTACGTTCCTCGAAATTGATTTATTACTGATTTTCTTTCTTTCTTCCAATATGCCTGTGAGCTAATATGCTAATATAGAATTTTTCTTTCCCTTCTATGCATAAAATAATATATTATATTCTGGTAGGGCCTATTGTCACCCAGTGCGCGTATTTTTTATTTTTTATTTTTTTTTCGCAATAGGTTTACACCCTTTCTTTAGTCACTGTTGTCGCCACTTTGTTAGTGAGGTAAATGTTTGGATTTAAAGCTCAATGGAATAGTTGATGGGAAAATAGAAAGTTCGAGCAATTGCTTTGTATCTTTAAAAATATGCTTATGGCCGAGCCCCAACCAAATAGTCTATATCGTACAAACAATATGAGAAGTGCGTACTACCAAAAGAGGTCTGAGTTTGCACCGGCTCATAACTTTTCATTCCTAGTGTAAGAACCTGTGTATGCTAGTATTGTATTGTCACAGTTTATGTCTTGTCCGTAGTTTACTATAACGCTCATTTGTAGTAATCGCACCAATGTTTCTTTTATCGTGTGTTCCGTCTCTATTGTTTTCGTTAGACGTTACATCCTCACTTGTATTTTGTACTTGTATCTGTTTGCTTATGTTTGTTTGTCTTTTGTGTCAATGCCTATTTAATATACCATTATGCTTTATACATAAGAGTTCATGTCCTTTCTTAATTGATAGCGGAGCTCTGGCGCGCGAAGCGCGCCTCCGGAGCACCATGGGTAAGTAAATCTACCCATCCCAGAAAAATTGGTAATCACCTGACCGTACACCGCCCGCCCGCCCGTCCGCACCACAGGGAAACCAGTGTTTAATCCTCACACTTTCTAGCCAGTTTGGGAGCACAGGAAGACTGATATTGCACACATATATTGCACATCAATGTTGTGATCAATTGACAGCTGTCAAAACAGGGTATCCGCTGACCAGGATCACCTGACTCTATCGCGGGCTCAGGTGTCGACCCATCGAGGTCGAATATCTTTTTGAAGTTATCTGCTGACAAGTAACTTGTTTTCAAATGATCGCAGGCTCAAGTTTATTTTTTTTAATTCATATGAAATATGTTGTGTTTTTGTATGTGCCGCACAATTAAAATGATTTCAAACTGACCTAGGAAGCTAAAATTCAGCCAGTTTTTACTGGCAGGGAAGACATGCCAGTTGCTTTTGACTTTTCTCACCAAGGTCACGAGTTGGTCACGCTCTACGTCCAATTTTTATGCTCTGATTGCTCAAAATTTGACAGGTGAGTTCATGCGGAAAATTTATGCAGCATCTTGAAACTTGTTTACTTTGCTGAAGCTGACAGAGTTTTGTATCAACTTGTGATGTTTTTAACTGTCTTTTTCCACTGAATGTACAAAATGAAATTCAGCTGCTATCAAGAGTCTTCTGTTATTCATGGCTAGTTTGTTTACTGGGTTTTTGGTTGAGAAATACATCGCTTGTCAACGTCGGAAATCCGATTTCGGATGGCATCGTTTTCGTTTTTCACCTTGCTTGATTCGTAAGAGGGTTGAAAAGTCTGAAGCGATTCTGGCCTCACTTGATAGTTTTCAGTGCATCTCGAATGGTAAGCCCGAGTAATTATTGTATTTGACGTTTGTTTCTTATATCTAATTTAATGAAGTCGAGCGTAGTTTATGCGGCTATTTAGTTTATTCACGTTTTTAGTTGTAAGATTTGAGACAATGATCTGACCGAGTATCAGGTTTGATTGTAAGCTTATAGAACTTTAAAAAGCCTTTAGACATTTTCTCACGGCAAATAGAAAGAAAACGTTCCAAAGAATATTTAGTTATAATTCTGGCTGTAAAAGAAAGCTTTCAGCGATTTTCTTGCCTCGAGTTCATCTTTGAAAAAGCAAACACCGGGAAGCCGGCTTACAAAATGAAAAACATAAACAAGGATTTTCAGAGACACTTTAATACTTGTCTTCGTAAATGAAAATTGTTGTCACTGTATATGTTTCACCGAATTATTTTCCTTTTATTGATTGTTAGTATTCTCTCTTGCAATTTTTATCGCTGTGCCGTTTGTTTTCAGTCGCTCATGAACATCGCTTGCATGCAGGAGTAGTCAAAATGCCGCGCGTATCAAACGCTTTTGACGATTAAACATCGTTATAAAACCATTAAATAAAAAATAAACATAATAAATTCTTTAATATGTTGAAGCGTATAACTCTATTAATTATAATTTAAACAGTCGACTTTGGCGCTTGTCAAAAGTGAGAACTCGATGTAAGATTAAGTTCACTCTTAGCTTGGACTGTTTGCAAATTACTTTTCTCTAAAATCACTTAACCTTTCCCTCAAAAGTCACATGAATGTGCTCTAAAGTTAACTGAATTGTGGAAAACAAGTTTATTGTTTGATTTAAATTATAAATTCGAGTTAATATATAGGAGCTTCGCTTTTAGCCCTGGCTAAATCTATATATTAGCGTCAGTATAATACAACGTTGGGTTATCCCTAGTTCCTTCTGCACTCCAAGCGTTACCAATTTAAGGTTAAAACTTCGCGTTAACTGTTAATTCAAAATTCGTCTCTTTAAACGTGAGGGGCCTTAGCAACTTTAAAAAAAACGACGTGCAATTTATACATGGTGCCGTAAACAGAAGGCTGAATTTGTCTTTTTGCAAGAAACGCACTCAAAAAAGGAGACAGAAGTGCAGTGGAAAAATGATTGGGTGGCGAAATTCTTTTCTTACATGGA